AGTGCCCTCAGGCTATGGGATGCCTTATGTGTTGCATCATCAGCTCCGCCTGGGTCGAAGGCAGGCAGACCAGAGCACTCAGAGAGGTGCGAAAGGCAGTTGCTGGCTTTGAGGCTACCTGAGGCCATCTCGGAGTCCCCCTCCCTGCGGGCTAAGGAGGTCCAGAAGTGGGTGGCTCTGGCCAAGAGAGGAGGTCAATTGGCGGCCTGGTTTCGGACGGTGCTTGTGGAGGAGGTGGAAGTTCGCAGGCGCAAAGACTCACAGGCCAGGAGTAAAGCTTGGAGGGAGTTCGGTGAACTTGCTGCTCAAGGCTCGGGCAGGATAGCGCACGCGATCTCCAGGCCCAAGATGTTAGAGGAGGCGCCCACGCTGGCAAAAGGCAAGCCCCACGGTCTGGTGGGAGCTGCGGCGATCACGGCGGTGCTGGAGGAATGGGAAGAGCTGTGGATCTCTGACGATAGGGCCCAGGAGGCAGCGCCGTCTGGTTGGAGTTACCCGTGGAAGCTTGACCCGATATCGGAGGACCAGATCGTCAAGGTATGCCGCTCCTTTGGCATTTCTACTGGGCTTGGCTGGGACAACTTTCACATGAGGCTGGTTACCTTTCTGGATGGGGTGTTTGTGCGGAGACTGCAGGAGATTATCTCCAGTTGGGAGCGCAATCCGCAATGTGAACGCATGTGGGTCACGATCAATGTTTTTCTGCCCAAACCTGGTGGGGGCACACGGCCTATTGGGCTCTTGTGTTTCTGGGCACGCATTTGGAGCAGATGCAGAAGGCAGTATGTAAAGAGTTGGGAGACGTCTGTGGACGCGAAGTTCTTCTGGGGAAAAGATGCCACGACCAGTTGCGACAAGGCGGCGTACTTGCATAACATGCTGGCCTGTTACGCCAGAAGGAAGAAGCTGTCGGCAATTACTGTTTTCTACGACATCCGCAAGTTTTACGAGAATGTCAGTCATCAGCAGCTGCGTGAAGCAGCAGAACACTACGATTTCGACGGCGCCTTGCTGAAGGCGCTCTGCTGCCTGTATCGTGCACCACGGCGGGCGCGCTGGACAGGGGGCACGAGCAGAGTCAGTCACCCGAATGGTACGATCGTGGCTGGATGCAGTGCGGCTACGGGAGTGGCGAAGCTGATGACTCTGTGCCTCCTCAAGCGCCTGGCTGAGGAAACGCCTCCGTGTCGGGCTCTGAATGTGGTCGATGATTTGACGACGCATATCATCGGAGGCCCCAGGACGGTGGTGGAGAACACGGTCATGAGTTTCGAGATCGTCACCGCCGAGCTGGATTCGAGGAAGCTGCCGATCAATTGGGACAAGACTAGATTCATGATGTCCGATCAATCTCAGCTGCCTGCATTGAGA